CATGCTTCGACTGCTGGAGGTCCAACATGATTTGAACTCAGCTAGGACTCTGGCCCAGCAACATCGACGAGGGTGCCAACCTGTAAGCACAGGTGGGACTCAAGTCTCTGAATTCTGCTCAAACTGCGATGGGATGCAAGCAGGTAGGAATCGGGCGAGCAGTGCTGAAGCGCCATCACAACCGGGAAGGCTCCGTCGTCACTGGAAATCTCCTCTGGGCACTGAAATGGATCTTTGCGTGGGATCAGATAACCTAGATTCGACATGATATGTTTAACCCTCGCCTGAAAATGTGGGACAATTCAATGATGAGTTACGACGTGGAAAATGGCGTCCTTCTGGACAGTGACCGGCATTGATGCATCTGGGAAGCTCGCGCTCAATTGCAGCTGCACATTCCTGGCAGATGTTCGAACTTTCTGGACCGGCGAATTGCCGACTAGCAGACTCCGGCTGGTGAGTCAAAGACGTTCTCAAAATGCCAAGGTCGCCATACATTCTGTGATGTCATCGATGCAGGATTCTGTACCTGAGTGATCAACTGGGACAGTATGCGCTGAAGGACGTCTTGAGCCCGGTCTGACGAGCCGGCATTCATGGAATATGTGTAAGTGGAAGCCTCGCAGCATCCAAAGCATCAAGGCAATCTGGGGCCACGCGACAATGCAGGATGCAAGCAACATCGGTACCCGTGCCTGCCAAAGCACAGTAGTGCCCGGCACTGTCAGTGTCACTGCACCGCTGGAAGGAGTTCCTCAGCAGCGTATCGGCTTCTTTTTCGGTCATACAGGAAAACAGCGCCAAGCCTGCTAAGCCACTGAAGTGCCTGAATGCCTGAAACACACATAAGTTTGATACGCGCCTGAAGGAAGTACAGGCAGCGGCGTGTCTCTCCTGACCTGATCCGCTCGGCAGTGAGGCAGGTGCTGCATGAGTTGCAGTGACTCAGGGCTGCCCCAATCACGAAGCTTATGACGCAGGTGATGTGCCAACACTGAGCTTGCGTCCCCTGGTAGGAACATGCCTTGCAGGAGGGGAGGGACGTCTCGTCTCCGAACCGCTCCGATGGGCCTGGCCTGAGGGTGTAGGTCCATGGCCTGTGATCAGAAGTCCAGGTGGCGGCCTTAGCACAGACTGCGCAACTTCCATGCAAGGCCTCAGGCTCTGCCACTTCGGTCGAGTGGCGTGACTTGTAAGGAGACCCCGCGAGCCACGAAGCCCAAGCGGAGGAGAAGCTCGAGTTCTGGCAGCGTGAGCATGAGCAACCGCAAACAAGCCGGTCCGGTCCGCTCCGGTCCGGTCTCCGGTCCGCGCCTTGACTGGCACCCCCCATAAGCGAGGAAGGCCTTAGAAGCTCTGCTCTCACGAAGCAAAGGGGACCTTGCGGCAGACTGGTTTATTGTAGCTGCCGAGGCCCCTGGGACCTCGGCACGATCTGCAAGCCTCGAAGCTCGCTTGGCGGTGAGCTGAAAGAGGCGGACCTGCAGTGACCGGCCATCTTATCTGGAGTTATGCGAGTAGGACCCTTGCTACAAGGACGCTAACAAAGGAACCCCTAATTTACAGAACTTGCGTATCTGAACACTCATATCTGGCACGGGAAGAGGCGTACGAGTTCGGATTCATTCCGGATCGATGCTGGCCGTGTTTATGGGAAGGCATCATCTGCCACACCAGCACCCACCAGTCTGGCAGAACTGTGCCCGCGGCTGCAATTTGGCGACATCCTCAGCTGCGGCTTCGCAAACAGGCAGTCCAGACCAGAGCCCTGAAGAACAGCTGCAGCGAAGTCGCAGAACTCGTTGACCGGCGTAGCTCTGCCCAAACGTACGAATGTGCGGCAAAACCTGCGCCGGGTCTCAGTGGCAGGCTGCCAAAATCCACGTATCACGGCATGTGGGAATGGAGAACGTGATTGCACGGTCTGGAAGGGCACTTGGCTGGCATGCCTGTGGCAAGGCCTTGGGAGAGTGGTGCATCCGCAAGTGTCAGGCTCACCCGCAAACTGCGCATCCTTGGAGAAAAACGGTTTGCAGGTTCGTGTCTTCCACTTCGAGATCGCTAGGCCAGACCGCTCTGACCGGACCGGACAGATTTTCAAATCAAGGGACGAAGTCCAGCTGCCAGGTATTTGGAGATCCAGTACTGTTGCAGGCAAGCCAGAAGCAGCAATGAAAGTGAGGCCGACACCTGCTCAAATTATCAGGCATTCGATGAGAGGCTAAGAAGTGAGAGCATAAGAGCCTTCAGCAGCTGACCCGGGCCTGAAATGCTTTGGCTGCCTGCCGGCTGGCCCGCTGCATCCGCATTGGACCAGTAACTTACAGATGCAACTGCAGGGGACCTCAGGCAGCACGTAGGTTCTGTTGTCGGTGCGAGGCAGACGTGAGGATGCCCCGGAAGTTTCATCAGCTGTTGATAACCGAGTTATGCCCAGCCACCCTTCCGCGCTCCAAGCTCGTGAGCCGAAGCTTGGAAGGAAGACGACGCCTTGGGAAAGCAAACAGCTTGGATGCTTCAGCTGGTGAATATGAAATATGTCGTATTTATTGTATAAACCACAAAGGAAGATCGTCGTGGCAATGCCTCGGTTAGGTCGGGATACGTAGCTTCTGGGCAGCACCAGATACGAGTCCTTTCAGGGTCATCTGCGTTGTGCTGCCAGAGACCACCTCCTGCCAGGCTTTTCCAACCAGCTAGCAGCATCTAGCAGCTACATGCAGAAAAGACAGTGCTTTGGCCCCCGTGCTCCAGGACGGCTGTGGTGCCGAGACCACGCAACTGCAACGCCCCGGCCGGCTCCTGGAATGAAGTTCATCCATTTGGGGGGTTAGAGGAAACTTAAGGAATGCCTGCTCTACTGCTCCACTTCTGCACCAAGGCACACGGAGATCCAGTGGAGACGACTCCAAGGCTTCATTGCCACAGCGAAGAGTCAGGCCCAGTGCAGCAGTGCTGTCGGCCTGCTGGCCATGTCTAGTGACCGGGGCATGACTTGCAGACTCGCACATCAGAAAATCCAGCCTCCACCCCCAGAACTTCCGCGAGGAGTACGAAAGCGTACCACTGTCCAGTCTCAAGGGTGGGCAGACCCACAGAGTTCCCAAAAGCGATATTGATGGCATCGCCTGACAAATGCTGCGCGGAATAGCACGTCTGTGCATGCCTTCAGGTTGCGCTAACTCTTTCGGGCCCACTTGGTGACCTTCGCCTGTGTGTCTTCCACACCGGGCCTTTTTGTGTCATCGAATCCCAGGAACAAGAGATCGGAGCCGGGAACTCTGTGCTGCCGTAGACCTCCAGCAGCACCTGACCAGGTTCTACAGCCAAGGCAGCAATCACTAAAACATGATGAAAGTAAGAACATACGTACATATATATATATATATATATATATATATATATATGTATACACACATACATATTTATACATCCGTCATGTCTACATACACGTTTGTTTAATTTACTTATACATATCACCCCACACCACCACCACCGCCGCCGCCACACCATCACACATCATCACCACCACCCCCACCCCCACATGTGACGTCTGTACAAATTGAAGACCGTACCACTGACCGTGGCAATACAACAAATCGCAGCAATGTAATCTGACATGATGCAACCGTCGAGCTGTGATAAGACTATCAACTGACCTGATTTAAGATGGCTCGGTAGTATGTTCTAAAGCACAACCTGACGTATGAGAGCAAGACACAGCTTTGCACAAGTGAGGGCACATATGCATGCAATGCTCGTATTACATTGGCTTGACCGTGGTCTGGAGGTAGCTATGCCCCAGGCGATGCACCACACCGTGGGCCTCTGCGCACTCGGCATCTTCCTTGGCCCTGGCACGCTTGAGTTGACACCTAAAACTTGGTCCCAATCAAGGGTGCCGCAGAGGCAACACCTCGGGGTGTGTTTCAACTCGAAGAAACGAGGTGGCAAATAACATTGTCTGGAAAGAGCTGGTGCGCTGTATTGGTTGCCCCAACCTCATGCCCTTGTCGTCTCTAGTCGACTCCAGTCATTAAAAAATCAACGAGATGAGCAGGAGATACTACTGTCTGTACAACCCGCAGTATGCCCAGTATGCATGTCGATGGCATCTTGCGAGGAGACAACTGGGAATGTTCGAAACTCTCCAGGAGCTCATCTCTATCTCAGAAGCGGAACAGTGAACCAACCTTCCTACGTCGTCATCGATTTTTGGCAAGTCAAGCAGCGGTTGGCTTGTTTTTTTTTTAAACTTCTAGCGTCTCATGATGGACACGAAAGCTTGACACTCCATGTCGTCTGCCGGTTCAGCTTCAAAGAGAGGTGCCACGGCGCTATTTTTTCACTCTGCGACGTGCACTAGAAGGGGGTTTGCGCAGTTTGCTTTGATATGCTTTGATTACGGTCTCGGCAGGAATTTGGCATTCCACTTCGCAGAACTTGCGTTCAACTGTTTGCACAGAGGGAGTACGCAATGAACGACTACAGCATCGTGGAATCTTAAACAGAATTGGCGGCAATAGAAAGCTTAAACCGCTGGCGAGAAAAAGAAGCAATGGTTCTCAAGAGGAGTGGGGCCTGCGCCAGACCTGGGTCAGTTTTGCTTGAGGGTAGAACTTTTCATTTCATTCTGGCAGGTGCAGTCTTTGACACCATGTCGGCGACGCGTGAGCGGACTGCCGGAAGCCGACCGTAGCACGAGAAGTTGGTCCCTGTCAGAGCGTAGTGCCATGTGGACAAGTTGTGCAGAACCCTGTGCTGCGAGCAAGCAAAGCCTTTGGATCTGCACAACCCTGTTTTAGGCAATGGGCTATCAAAGCGAGCACCATCACATTGCTATGCTTTGGCCACGAAGGGCAGCTCCTCTCACGTCTACGGATGGGCTCAGAACGGCCAGCGCCGGCCGTCAGGCCGCCGGGGCTTCGGCTGAAGCGCTTGTCCTGGACAGAGACTTTATCAGTCGCAGATGCCTGAGCGACTTTTCTCCCCTGCCCGCCTCAGTGCCGCGCACGACCGCGACCCCGACCACGTGGCCGCGGCGGTGGGCTGCGGTGGTTGGCTTGCCCGACCGCTCGCCCAGCCGCCCCAACACAGCTGGCAAGACCCGCAGAACACAGGCCCACATTACAGGCCGTGGCTGCATGGTAGCCAACGCCTGACTGCCACTCAGCACGTTCGGTCATGCTGCTGCCCGCTAGCATCCAAATGTGCGAGCTGATGCCGACGGGATCACGCTCGGTGAAGCCAAGATGCGAAAGCTCTGTTTCCTAAGATCGCACAGTTTGCAAATAATTGCATTCCGAACGACAGCATCTAGCTCTGCCACAGGCACCTCTGTCTTGTGTGCTGACTGCACGCCATGTTCCGGCTTCATGATGACGCTGTAGGAACTGAAACTGTGACATGTACCCATGCAGATGCGATCCGAGCCCGGGTCAGCACAAGCTACGTTTACGAGGCCCTCATGATCAGAAGCACTTCAAACACTGCAGTCAAAGACTGGTCTCCAGATTGTACAAGGTTTGGCTGGTCCTGAATTCGAAACTAAAAAGCATACTGCGCCAAATCAAGGTGCTTCGTCTTGTGGTGGAACATCTGCATCGCCACGTATCTGACAGGTCAATGCCCAAAAGAAACTCGCGAGGCACTCATGTAAGATCTGTTCTGGCACCTGATACGCACCTATTTATAGAGCAAAAAGGTGCAGGCATCAACATGCGGAGTCTCCGTGGAGAATGATTCAGCTCAGACCCACACCCGGCTGGCCATCCACCCAAAGCTGCAGTGCCCTGCAGAGTCTTCTCTGGGACGCGCCATCCACCAGTTTTTGCCTCAGGGCATGGGCTGCCGGGCTGCACAACTGCGAATAAGCTCGAACCGAAAATCATGGAATGTGGTGCTGGTTCCTCATGAGATAAAAGTAAATTCCGTTCTCGTGCTACACAAACAGGTGTGCAAGTCGATTGCATGTTATTCCTGAACACAACCTGTTGTGTGTGCGCGCTTCGGAGGAGTGCGAATAAACGACAAAGCTGCTTGATGCTTGTCGTACCAAAACAGTCCCACCGTCGCCACGTTCACCATCAGCAGTCCGCCCTTGGCTCTGTCTCTGCAGATGCCGATCGGTGGTGTGTTACTCTCTGCTCTCGTCTGGACAGTTGCAGAAAACTCTCTGCGTGGCATCAAAGACAGAACATGATCTGGGGGGGCTTCTTTCACAGCGAGCACTGGCTTCTCAATGCATCTTTGGCGCGAGGGCTCCCAGGATTCCGAACTGCTTGCAGGACGACGCCACATTGGAAAGGTCAAAGTTGTTGGGCAGCATGGCCCGGTTTCCAGCTTCTAGGTCCGGTCTCTTGCAAAAACGATTACCCGTAAGACCTCCATGCTCTCCACCGTTTTACCGAAGCTTCATCCCATAAGGAGTGCAGAGTTTGCCGACCTTGCGGGAAAGCTGCAACGTCGCTTCCCAATGAGCTGGGAGCCGAGAGGATCGGAGGCTTCGGTCTTTTGAAGGTCCGCTTGGGCAAGCGGAGCCGGGAGCCTCATGAGGGAGAGCTGCAGCTGCATGTCTGCGCCACCTCCGCCATGAGCCCCGTGAAGGCTTAATCATGTCTCGGACTTGTTGCGTCGTGCACGTCAGCTCGAGAAAGAAGGAATGAGAAGCTCAGAGCACTGCATGTAGCATAGTACGCCGTGTCCACGGCGGTTGGGAAATGCACCGTCAAGGGGCTGACCTTTGCAGGCAGCTGCAGCCACTCGAACATGAGGCCCAAAGAAGCATCTCGGGGGTTGCACAGAACCACGGACAGAGAAAGCCAGCACAGCGCCGGCAGCAGGGTTAGCGAGCTCTCCGCCAAACTCCGGAACTATGGAATACCTGCTGCCATCATTTTTAGCAGGTATGCAGTTTGTCTGCACACGGCATGCTGAACTGAGAGTGTTGCGCTTCTCTGGCCGCAGCGAAGTGCGTCCGCGAAGCCCAGTTGATCATCATGGTCAACACATCCCGGGTTCCTTTCGGCGAGAAGGACCAAGAAGATGGACAATCTGAGGCACTTGCTCACGGGAGCTCAGGCCTGCTACCGTTCCACGATTCTCGGCATCCAATCTGAGACGTATCTCTGCCAGGGGATCTGGATTGGTTACCTGCCATCACGGTGCTACATGTCAGATGGAATGGAGAGGAAACTGCTGGCCTGGCTAAGTCGGCATCCGATCCCATCCCACACAGCCACCTGCACTGTTTCACTCAAACAGCCAAGTTGGCCTGCGACTGCTGCCGAAGCAGAGAAGCTAGAAGGAGCCTCCACAGCCAGCAGGGCGCTGCCAGGCGCTGCTGTGCAGCTCGTCACGTCGCGAAGCGCCAGAGATGGAGCTGTGATGAATACATCCACCTTGCAATCGAAATAACGGCCGTCAGTGAAAAAGGAAGCTGCAGTTGCCACACCGATATCTCCTTGCCTACACTGGTTTTGCTCCCAGTCACCTGCCCAGCCCACAGTCCGAGCTGAACGGCCAGCCTCAGGCATGCAAAAGACAACGAATACCGTCGCCAGATATTCTCTATCAACAACGTCTTCTTCGGCCGGTCATTGACGGAGCCAGGGTCAGCACATGTCGGCACATCCGCTGCAAGGAAGCAACACTCATGCAAATTGAACACTAGCAGCATCGCTTCCTCTTGTTCGACGGAGCCACACGGGCACTGTTGCGCGCAGAGTCGCGAGTAAGCCATGAGGTCATGCTCGAGAAACAGATGCCTTGGATATTGCCTAGCATGGTCATTGTGGATTCCCGTCTCATGCCTCTCGTGCGGCTAGACATGACCACGTGGTTCCATGTCTTGGCTCTACAGGAAATAGCCATCCAGCTGTTGTGCCAGCGCCGGGCAGTTGCCAAGACGCGGACCGCTGGAGCACTGGCTCAAAACTTGCATCCAGATTCGCACTGCTGCGTGAGCCTTCACTTATCCTTCCTACGAGATGCTCTCGTAGAGTTTCACGATTGTCGAGCACAGCTAAGATTTAGATGGAGTGGGACGAAGGACAAACGGCTATGCAGCTGCTGCCTCAAAAACCATCGTCAGTATCGTAATGCACTACTGGCTCTTGACCCTTCGTCAGTATGCACCACTTCGGTTGCATGAAACTTTCGACAGGATCATCCGGCTCAAACGTGATCTCAACCAAGGCGGTTGAGATCCTGTGCTTCAAAACCTTAACAAGGGGAGTTATCTGCATACCCCCAAAAATCTTGTCGCCTGGCTTCAAGGAGCTTGCACAAACAACCTCCTGTGGGCAGCCTGACGAGTCAGGGATGACCACCCTGTGAGTGCTGCTCACCTTCAAATAGCAAGCTCTCGTCCGCAGTTTCACCACGTCTTTCATCTCCTGCGGGTGGTGCGTAACATTGGATGCCACTACTTCTTCACCAAAAGCATTCAGCACAACATCGCCGGGCTGGAGGTGCATCACAGTTTTGGCAGTTGCAGGCGAAGTGTACAGCATCGTTCTCGGCAGGAAGCAACGGGGCTGTGGCCCCGTGCCCAGGAGCCTTACCAGAAAGCTCTTGCATTTCTCGCTCAGGAACCCAGAGAACTCGTCGGCCGTTCCACAACCCGTCAAAGCAAGACGCAGCCCGGGGGAGCAGCCCGGTGAGTGGACCAGCTTGCCAGCTCCTTCTTGAGGCCCGCTTTTCGGCCAGTCTGCCTTCCATCCTCTTAGCCAGCTTCAAGGCATCGGTTGGGTCACTCTCTTCATTCTGAGCCTTCTTTGTTGCCTTAGCCCACTTGAGTCTGCCTTTCATCCTCTTTGCCAGCTTCAAGGCTTCGGTTGGGTCAATCTCTTCATTCTGAGCCTTCTTTGTTGCCTTAGCCCACTTGCCGGCTGTCATCTGCCAGTCGGCTCGAGGTCGAGCGAGTCGACCCTGGCTAAACGTTCCTCTTCCATGCAACCTGCTGCGAAAGCATCACGATGGCTGCACGACAGCTCCGTCAAGAACACAGCCAGCTCCTCTACCGTATGACAGCCTGTCTGCTCGAAAAGATCAGCTGTCACGGAACTACGACACTTCTCACCCAGGAAGGTGCAAAGCTGCGCGAAAGTCTTGCATCCAGTGAGGTGGGTGACGAAAGGTGGCAAGTGCTCTTGCTCTCCAACAAGCTCTTGCAAGGCATCATGCACAAAGTATCCAGGGATTCCATCCGGTGGATCGGCAGCTCCGGCGCTTAGTGCCTTATGAATGTCTTGCAGCAGCTTCTCCCTGCAGTCCATCTCCACCTTGAGCAGCATGCAGGGCAGAACTGCAGCAAGGCCTGGAAAAGACACACGACAGTCGTAGGATTCCTTCAAGGTATGGAGTTCCTTCCTGAGCTGGTATTCCTGTGCCAACAGCACTCGCTCTTCGGAGCTAGCGGTGGCCTTGACTGCAGATGCTGGCATTACATAGTAGCCGTCAGATAATGCGAAGCCGAGGTTGGTGATGCCAAGCGTCATCCACGAGTCATCTTCCAGTTGGGCTCGGATCGCCCATGTTCTCTGGCCTGATCTGGAAGGCGCATGGAAGGTCGCCATACGCTTAGCATGAAAGATGTCACCACGGTGCAACGTTCGGACAACTCGACCGTCCTCAGCGCATTCCTCGTGAGCATCGAGTCGCTCTTGGCAAACGATCCCACAAGCGATGGTCTGCTCTTCGAGTGCCGGCCCTATGTCTCCCAGAACACCAAACAAATGGCTTCCGTCATGAAGCAAGGCCACCGGCGAGCGCTTGCCAGAAAAGAGCCGCAAATCCAACCAGCTGCCATCGGCCAGTTGAATTGCCTCCGGCCAATTCTGCTTGCCCCACCAAGGCCGCCCATGCACATGTCCCAACTCATGGGTCGAGCGGATCTCATCTCCCCTGCGCACTATGTGACATGAATCCCCAAGGGGTCCCAAAGCGCTGCATGCAGGGATATCTTCAAGGCAGATGAAGCGTCTTTCTGATCTTTGGCGACACTCTGCCACATATCCAAATCAGCTGCAGCTGCTTTGGCAAAGAAGACTACCGCCTTCATCAGGGCCCAGGTGAGTCCGCACGATGAAGAGACTACCAACTTGGTCAACCCCCAGGTGAGTCCACATAGTGCGTGCAGAATCTCGAGCACAACACAAAGCAAAGTCAATAAAAGCCACCGCGCACACATCGCAAGTTCAGCGCATGTGCATGGAAGCGTTGGCATGTTTTACAGAACCTTCCATACTACGCTGACAGACTTAAAGAGCCTGTAGATGCCAAGATCAATCAACAACAACAAGCCGTGAAGCATTTCCCGGCAGAGGTCATGATACAACCATCCATGGACCCGTGGGGGCATCGCTGCATGTCATCAATCCGACCTACTACCGTAAACCTTGTTGAAAGCTCCTGCTATGATCTTTTATATACCCATATGATAAGCAACGACTCTTGGCATGCGACTCCACAGTCGTCTGTGTCCCAGCTGCCTGAGCACAAGAAGCACGGTATGCCAGAAGGTCACGGTGGTGGCGACTTCCGGGTCTTGTCTGCGCCTGCACTGCGGAGCGTAGCTGTTGCAGTCTGGCCGGAGGAGTCAGAGCCAGCACGTCCGAGGCGAAAGCCACGCTGCCTCGGCCTGATTACTGATGGCGGAGGTGCTGGGGATCTCAGCTCCTAAACAGCCGCTGATGGCTACAGTGGCGCCTGTGGTGGAGGCTTCCAGGGCCAGTGCCCAGTCAGCCGAGAGACCATACATGGGCATCGGGAGTTCAAGGCGGAGACCTTCAGAGCGGTCTGGTGCGGACAAAACTTCACTGATGCTACCGGCTCTGTCCTGTCGCATGCTTCGCATGCTTGCTGCAGCCATGCACTGACTGCGACAAGGTCACTGAAGGGCTGCTGTCCAGGTGAAATCGAAAAGTCTGCTCCGGCAGTGCATTTCACACCTCGGGCACATTAAATGTCGTAAACGGCTCATGACATGGAACGATGGCCATGCTGTCCAGACACCGTTCACTCGGAAGCCTCCGGCGCGGAACCAGACGCAGTCCATGCTGCCCGGCAGGTCCGTGTAGATCAGGCGCGCAGACGCCCCCGCAACTGACAGTGACAGAGTCACAGGCAGCAACGGGGCAGCGCATGTCCCGTGTCATGCTGTGCCGCTTTCTTTCGTTCGTGCAGGCCTTCTACTATGGAGGTGTCTGCAAGCACGTTCAGATCGAAAGGTGACAATGGGAGTGGAGCGAATGTCAGGACCTCGAAGCGCCACTGCCAACTCTATCTATAAGTATGGCCCTATGGCCTTGCCACAGGCCCTGCCATGCCCAAGCCAGGCAGCATCTCCCAGTCCAAATCCGGCCGGCGACTGAAAGTTGAGCTCGAGGGTAACGGAGGAGCCTGCAGCTCAGGCACTCGCTGCCTCCACACTGGAATCTGCCAACCCGGACCCCTAGACCTCAACGCATATCCCCGTGTTGGGGGGCTACGAAGAGGGCTGGGTTCCGCGCCAGGTCTACCTTCCAGGTGTAAGACCCTTGGCTCAACTTCCTTTACAAACGGCCGAGTATTTGTCTCTGATGAAGGCAATTATACCGATACCTGTGTGCGTATCAAATTTTCACACGTTCCCAAGCAGTGGCACCGCCCTGAAATCACCTTTTGTATACTCACGCTCTCTGTCTCCCTCTCTGTCTGTCGCCATCCCCTCTACCTGAACCTGTGGTCACGCTGACCGTGACTGTTTGACTTGAAATGCACACAGAAACCAAATGGCTGTTCCTCCCCTGACATGTCAGGCACTCTGACGCAGATAACGCACACACAGCAGGCCTGTCGGCGTCAGACCCACGTCCGGAGTGATTGCAGCGTTGAAGCTACTGACGAATCCACGCAGCCCTGACCACAGAGCTTCAGCTATCTCCGCTTTTGTCCGGTTTTCGTGGTCCCTGCTACGGATTGCACTGGCCCAGAATCGCTTCGACATTTTCCGATGTCTCTGAATGCCGTGCCGGTATCAGGTATTGTTTACAATCATCTATGGAGAAATTCACGCGACACGGCACATCACACGCTCAAGGCAACTCACTTCGTTTACAAAGTAGTGAGAACATGGGCTGCCGCTAGCTGGAGGTGGCCGAGGAGAAGAGAGCTGTTCGGCGATGTACATGCTGGACCAGAGGTTGGTAGCAGCGTAAAGCACCCACCTGCAAGGCTTTGTGGCAGCAGAGGAAGCCGTCCTGGTCCAGAGGCATCCTGCCAGCTACAGACATGTCTTTCGCAGAATCCGTGTATGGCCGGAAATGCCTTGGTGCCGTAGTCGTAAGCGGCAGCTGTGCCTGCACACAGTTGAGACGGAGTCAGAAATCCTTGCTCTATGGGCTCTTTGCAAGATGCATCTTCCGGAACAAGCAGCTGCCCAGACACAAAGGTTGGAAGCCCGCCTCCCAAGACTGTTCAAGCTATTCCCCGGCCTTCCGGCGTTTGCCAGCGAAGCACCAAAGAAAACTGCCAGACGTTCTGTCCACAATCCGCAGCTGCAAAGCTGAAGCTATCGCTCTGTGGCACTGCATCACCTGCAAGCCCACCAAACGATTCAGATCATACCGGCACTATCACTGCACCAGAAATTCCTGACGATATCAATGCAAGACATGGGTCGTGGAAACAATCTCGTACACTCGCAGCGCGTTACTTCGCCTGCGCATGCCTAAAGCATCGCCTGGACAGCATGTCGGAACCAGCGAGCACGTCCCGGCAGACAGGCTAAAGCCCTGGCACGCGGTTGTCGCCCTACAGCTCGCTGCCTGAGAGCTCAGATGCATGAGACTTCAGGGGGGGATCGGATCATGAGGGTGTCATCTAGGGTTACTCTTAGGGGCCTTTATGAGGCTAATTACTACAAGGATTACATTACTAGAAGACTGCTATAGGGGTGTCTGCTTGGAACAGAACCCTTGCACTTGTGCAGTAAGCAATCCAACGACCTTTGTGCATGGTGGTCGAGACCCACTGGCCAAAAGAGTGCTATGGATGCTATATCCACTCCTGATGCGTATGTAAGTCCGCAACTTCGGAAAACAGGTCCACAACGTCTTGACTGCAGTGTCGAGTAGCACAGTCGGATACAGATGATGCAGTTGAGCTGGAGATCGGTGTGCTTGCGCAAGCCGCCCTGACGCATTGAAGCTGTCTTCTGTCAGGGCCGACGAGAGTAGAGCTGGTTGGCAGGCCAAGTGGCTCATCCGAGTGGATGAAGTAGCCGTCCACTTCAGATGGAAACTCTGGACAACCCAAGGCATCACTGTTCACCTGCAGACTCAAGCCGGCTATCTGCACATGTGAAAGCCGGAAGGAAGACTGGAGGCCTCGCAGCTGTAGCACTCCACTGCCCACTTCTGCAGCTCACATTCCTCCAACGTTGCGAAGGTATGGCAGGTACCGAAGTCCTGTCATTGACTGTCGGACACAAAAAGGCTGCGTGACATTGCAGGGCAGATAGCGGCTGTTCCAAGCTACGGTTTCCTGTCACTGACCCTTCGCTCTAGCCAAGACTGTGAAGAGCTCCTGTCGGCAACATTTGTCCACATCCGTATCCAGGCTGTCTGTGCCTGGGCCACAGTAGCTGTCAGAGGTCGGAGATGCAGGGGAATGAGAATCTCGAAATACTCCGAGCTCCAGATTTCGAGGTACCCTCCGCTTGAAAATGGAGTGTGCTCGATTACGATTGCTGAAGTCTCCTGCATTTAGCTCCTGTACGACGGCGACATGTTCTCTCACAAACGGGGGCAGTCTGGTACTCCGGGGAGGATGCTTTCGTAAAACATGCAAGCGGCGTGATGGCGAGACTGCTGCGGGTTTCGTACGACATCGCACAAGATCAATGCTTGCGTCAGTCATGGAGACCGTTGGAAGAATGTGCACTTTGCGATCAAGCAGCTGGCAGTAGATTCATTCAAGCTTCCGCCGATCTTGACGAAAAAGCTGCCTCAGCTCAATGCTACTCGATGCCAGAAGATCCCAACTAGCAACACTGAACAAGTGTTAGTGCATGGCTGGTGCCGCCCAGAGCAGCACGGCCCTCGCAGCTGCGAAGGGCTGCAGGGGCCAGATTCTCCGCTTCAAGCTCGATCCTGAAGACGAGATAGGGTTGCATTCTGACTGGATCGGTGTTCCGACATTGCTGAGCACCCATCCAGTTTGTGTCATTCGACGGCACTTCTGCAAGATCGAAAGCGAGTGATCCTCGGCAACAGCAAGCTGGATGTCTTGAGCTAGAAGCATCACAAAAGCTGCACAACCAAGCCCCTCTGATGCGTTCGTTGCCAAGGAGCGCGTGTCCGTGAGCGAACAGCTTGTGAAGGAGGTTGAGGCCGCCACCAGCGAGCAGAGCGGCGGAGAGAGGAGGCGCAGCTGAGCAAAGCAGCTTAAGCAAACTCAGAGGAGTTGACTTCCCTACCACTGCAGTCATTCGCAGCTCTACACCTGCGCTGCCTGCAGGGCATTCAGCTGTAGCTCCAGCCGATGTGAAGTTGACCCTGTCACTGACGGCGGAAGGACACCCGATGAGAAAGCAGCTTGGAACGCCCACAACGGCAAAAGCGGCGCTGCACCTGCTTCCACTTCAGGAGCGGAGAAGCTCAACAGCAGTTTGCTTGGACTGAAGGCAATGCCTGATTGGACCAGTATGAAACCTACGGAGCTGCTCAGCTGCGCCGTGCAGAAGCGGATGCCACATGCAGCCAGGAGTGCGATGCCAAACATGAAGGTCGGCCGATGGAGTGCTGTATGCCAGTACACACCTAGTAGAGTGATGCGGGCATAAAAGCAGAACGTCCAACAATGCACATTCTTGCCGGGGGCCCTGCAGTGCCAGAGAACAGAGTGGGCTTCGCAGCCGATAGTCCCATAAGAACCACATCCGAACGACAGAAGGCCATCTCCACCGAGGGCAGGCTTCGGATCACTGAGACCGAGCTAACACTGCACACCGCCGGTCTGGGATGTTTACATGCGCTCATGCATATTTCTGTATGCATGCATGTATGTGTGTATGTCTATTTTGAATCCGCATACCCTTTGATTCAGTTGACTATGTAGAAATGCTGCTTGCCTTGCTGTTTTGCAAGGGTCAACGGTTTGAGTCCTTGTGACAAGCCTTTTGATGCCACCGGAGCCAACGGCAACCCAGCGGCTCTGAATAATGATGGCCTCTGAGAGCAGTACTGTGGTTGTCCACCTCCACGACAGTCGAGCTCCGATGAAAATTTCTCTTTTGTCCGAAAACTGTCTTCAGAGGCGAGTCAAGACCACGGTGCCATCCTGGAGTGAAGGTCAGTCCATGCACGTGTTGGTATTGGTCTTTCCAGATGAGCCCCTAATGCTCAACAACTCGTGTTCAGACTTTCGGAGCTCCTGGCCGGCAGTGACCAGGTGCCGCTCCGAGAGGAGCGTGGCGCAGCTCAGCACTTTGGCCCCGAGGACCGATGCGGAGACCTGAGCAAGACATACTAAGCCCTGACTCACCCACTGCAGCCTTCTTTCAAGACCCCTTGTCCGGGTGCAGCACTCCTCGACCAGAACCGTGTAGTGGAATGGTGTCCAAGAGCTCAAGATCTGCCAAGGCCAAGGCTGGTGGAAAACTTGGCAAAGCCGCCTTGGCCCCCCCCTGGGCCCGGGCTTTTCAAGCTCCAGAGCTTGAGCTCAGCAGCTGAGCTCAGAGATGCCAGCTGCCCCGTCCTCGCAGCACCGGCGCATCTGTGCTTCAAAGGCTTCGTGGCACTTTGAGCGCATGGCATCTGGAGAACGAAGCAATGCTGCACGGGATCACCGTGAGCCTGTTCCAGGTGTATCCGGGAACGGTCAGGACACTAGAAGAGGGTCAACATCCTGCACCGAAGAGTCCACATCGCTCAGTATTCTGTCGTGCTGCGAAAACGGTCTATGCACAGCTGACTAGGGGAAGTGCTCCGAGTTGAACATCTAGACAGACTGGAGTTGACTACAGACTTCTATTTCGAGGATCACCGCCTCGAAACGATGCGAAATGCGCCGCATGCGAAGATCAAAGACGCGGAGCTCCCCAGCCTGCAAGAAGAAGTATCATTCGATACGGGCTGTCTTCTTTAATTACTTGTGAAGAGCATCTGTCCTGCCTTCGTCCCACAGAAGATACGCTGTTGCGATGCAGCCTTACAGGAGCTGACAAAGCGCGGTGCATCTGGCTGTGGACTGCTGAGGTGAACTGAGAAGCCAACCCAGGCAAGAGCAGAGTACTCCGCGGGCATGGAAGCACTCGATGCCTGAAGCTTCTCAGGAAGAGGTTCACATCTGAATTGCTCTGTCGACCTCACGATTTTGCGAAGAGTAGGCTCCTGACATCTGCTCCGTCGTGTGCAACCAGAGAGGATGCGCTCGGTGCAATGGTGTCCCACACCTCAGCAGGCAGTGATCAAGATGACCCCGATAGCGGGGAGAAGAGAACTGAGGAGTGAGCGGCAAGCGGTACGAACAGTGCTAGTACTGCTAGTAGCACTGGAGCTAAACCTACTGCAAGTAGAAGTACTGCTAGTGCTTCTCGTGCTACTACAACTAGAACTGCTGCAACAACAACTACTCCCACTCCTCCTCTGCTTCTGCTGCTGCTACCAATACTACTATGCTCATGACTGTGGCTGCTATTGCCGACAATCATGCTACTCACGGTCGCGACAGCAACGACCACAAGACAGGAAGCGACAAAGCTACAGTAATACTGATGGTCGTAATCATACACAACATGACACTCAAGTAAGACTTGTCGAAAAGAGTGTCCATTGTGAAGTGAGAGTATGGCAAGCCAGAAGCCACGTATCATGACGCAGATGAACCCAGCACAAGTAGCTGTAATCGTAACCAGAAGCGCACTGAAAGAACAATAAACCGCAGTATTTTGTTTATATAAAACCATATCTACCATTAAACAAGTATAAGTATAAATACAAGTGTGTGTGTGTGTGTATATATATATATATATATGTATATCCGACATACGACAGATGCGAATGTCCAAAACGGTGGCAACTCGGAAACAGGCACAAATCCCAGCAGCGACATGTGGCCAGGCCTTTAACCTTGCCATGCGATCAGCTCCAATATGACTACCCGATTTCAGCATTCGCACGATACTGCAGGACAGGAAGAACACTGCAAGATACTGCAAGCGTGCCGGTTTTGACGCTCCTGCCGTGCTCGGCAGCCCGGGGGCCGCGAACTTAGGCCAGCAGCAAGCCGGGGTAGATTCCGAATCGGTTGGGCGGACAATGTGTGACAGTACTAGGGAGATACCTTTCGGATTCTCTTGCAGTGGAGCTACAACAGCTCCCGCAAAAACATGCTTGCTGCCACCTTGACCCGATGTCATTTCCCTGCCTCTGACTCTGCTCGTCGCCCGGCTGTAGCAACCACCTTAGTAGCAGGTTTTGTGTTGAGGGCTCCTTTCCGACTGCGTGACTCGTCGAGCTGCTGGCTGCCGAAAGTCGCACTGCGAGGAGAAGCATGGTTCAGGCTGGAGGAATGTTCAGGCTGGTGGAATCGCCGAAGTAGACAAATCTTTGACCGGAGACAGACTGGAGCACATGCCAGGTGCCTCCAGACGAACATGTCAACAGTAGACAGAGGAATTCCAGGAAGTGAGGACACGCCAATGAAACAATGCGAGGCGGCAAGGGCCGCTGGTTAGTTTGGTTGACGTCGACAATGTGCTTTACGTATTACGTGCGGCGAGGTGAAGAAGCACAAACAATCGGAACCTTCCTTATACTTCTTGGCACCTGCTTTCTGCACGAACAGCGTTTCACTGACGATGACCATCGCGAAAATGTATTGAGGGCACGGCGGAACCTGTGGCTGAAGCAAAGGCTGCACACAGCAGCCGCGAGTGAGCAGCACCTTGCACCAAGCCGGAGTCGAGCTCTGTGGCCCCCATGTTGCCGTCTGCAGCTCCGAACTTCGACTGCCGAGCATTCAAGGCCACCGATTGGACTTTGAATGACTTTGAGCCGCTCAAATCACGAAGAGCCAGAGGCAACCAAAGAATCAGAGCCATGTGCTCTTCTTCTTGTCTCTCCCCGGCCCCCGATAGAGGGGATTCATACCCTTGGTACCGGACAGCTGCTGCAAGCGGCCGGAGCAGGCGCTTCTGGGACATGCTCCCAGAGCCAGAGCCCCGTGACCGCTGTAGCATTGAAAAGCTGTCCTTCAAGGGCCTGTGACAAGGCAACGCGGCACAAGGAATGCAAAATCTGTCTACAGGGCGCCAGGCGGGCTCTGGGAAGAAGCTGCTATGTGGCAAATCTGCTGAAGAAAGAAGCAGTTGAGCGCCTACCACTGCTTACAGCATCTTCCGGAAGCCACACCCAAGGCGCCAAAAAGCAGTGCCCTCTGCAACTTTCCATCTGCTGAGAGGGCAACAGCCTAGAGTACCATGGTATGGGTGGCAATGCTTCCTATCAGTCACAAGCTCTTCAATGGCAGCGACTCCGGTTTTGGGTGGCACCATCTCCTGTGATGACAACTCTGCATTGCCACCTTTCAACTGACGATGCAGCCAAAAAACAAACAGAAAGCTGGGAGAGGAAAGCCAGGAATGTCCGGAGTTCAACATATGGCACTGCTGATGTCAGTTTCGCATTTCCTCTCCGGGCCATAGTCGTTACACCCCTAACACCAGCTGCCTAGAGCTCGGCGTTCAGGAAGCAAGACCCATGCAAACCGTTCCAGCAGCTTCTCACTGCCATAATGCCGACAGGTTGCCGATCAGTAAATTCAATGTGTTTTTGTGGCTTCTGTTTGTGCGGAATAGACCCTGAACAACAACAGCGTGTTCTGCTGTAGACCTCGCGTAGATCAGCTGAAGCTAGGTGACATTGTGCTCGAGCACCACGAAGCCTCGTGTCGCATGCCTCCAACTCGCAGCACAGTAGGCTGCTCAGTTGAAGCGATTGACCTGTTGGGAAAAAACCTTCGCAAACTGCCAAGGCTCAAAGGTCTGCGGCATGTCAAACATGCAATTAGTTCGCTGGCTAGCTGAAGAACTTTCATCACAACTGCGGCACCTCCGCCCCTGGATCTTGCTCGCAGGTGCAGGATGCTGCATGTGCTTTATTCCCTTAGCACGATTTAGAAGAATGCACTTGCTTCCAAGTTGGGTGTGAAGTGGATGGCTGGCAGTTCGTTCAGCAATTGCCAGCTATGGACAAGCTCTCCCAACGCCGAACAAGCTTTTCACGCGTTGGCTCGCGTCCTCCTGGAACCAAAACCGCCCTCACGTGAGAGCATGCTGGGAAAGTGTCAGGCAATTTGGTTATGCGATCTCAAGAGGCACCATGAATGGACCATGACGCATGACCAGCTGCGTCCTACGACATAGCGCGCACGGCTGCGCGGCTGATGGAGGGTAGAGGCCCAGGGCTTCCGTGGCTGCCAAGTCTCCCGTCCTGCTTCTCGCATATCTTGGACTTTGGACTCACGGAGCTGCAAGCATATGTTTTTGTCTCCTTCGTGGACTCTTTGGAGGCATCCCGTGAAATAGGTTCAGCAGGAACCTCGACTTACCGACAAGCACAAGATAGCAGCACAAGCACGCGAGACGTGAAAGGCCGCCTCGTCTTCAGCCTGGAGCTGCGTCGCAAACCTGGGCGGAATTCCGCTTGCGATGTTTGTCATGCTGCCGGATGCCTCCTTGACCTGGAGCCTTTACCTTTGAATGGAACTCCTGCACGCCCTGCAGGCCACGGTGGACACAAGCTATTCATGCGCGACAACTGAACGGAAGGGACCGACATCATTGCAAGACGCCAACAAAAAGTCAGATGCACTCTGGCTTTGAGCGTGTACGGCTTCTACCGAGCAGCACCGTCTTGCTTTGGTCCTCAGATGGCAAGAAGTTTTCCCAGACCCAAACACGTTTTGAGAAGTCGGCAGAGACAGTAAACCGCCTGAGACGGAAGGGCCCTTTCGGTTGGAAAGACACTCAAACAAATGCTGTAGGTTGTTTCGATTCGAAGCGCCCTGTTCCATAAAGTGCTTCCCAGAAGCCCGCAACTGTTGGTTCATCTCCTGTCGGTGCTACAGCTGTCATCATTGCCTTGCGCATCTTCCAGAGCTTTGCACTGGCTGCCAGCCTGAAGCAGCCTGCACTGCCGGCGCAAGAACGAGAGCTCGGAGGACGCGTCAGCGACACCTTCATGCCTTCAAGGAGGTATGGCTAGGCCCTGTCACACTTCTAGTCCCACTGTAGGCGATACCCGCCTGGACTCTTCCGACTGCCGGCAGCGCAGCTGCAGTGTGCAGTGCTCTCGTGCAAGGCTGTGCAGCTCCATGTGAAGCTTCGAGAGCTCCTCTTTGCGGGCCAAGAGGACAGGAAGGATAGAGGCATTCAGGATTCTTCGTATCGAGGCGAGGCTGGAAGATTCTCTTGCCTCATTCTTCACATGCAGCATCTCGTCACGGCTCTGCAAGGTGTTGCGCAGCTCGTTAAGCTTGGCCTGCCGAAAACCAGACCAGAATTGTAGCCTAACAAAGCTAAGATGGCTTCATGAAAGGCACAAGCGGTACTCAGTACTCGTCCCTCTCTTCAGGAAAGGCAGTGTAACGGTCATGGACACCGGTTGGCAACCAACAACGCCAATCAACTAGCGCAAACTCACACAGAGGAGCGCCTCCGCAGAAGATCGGGCATCCCGCTCCGCGTGCAGTGCGTCACGCAATGACATGATTTCCTTGTCCTCGACACTGCGGCCATACACATCTAGCACCAGCCAATACCATGCACTATACACCATTCCAGCCACACTCCCCTCCTTGTCCACGAGACGCTTCTCCGCCTTCGCAGCCCTGCGCAGGTCAGGTCTCACTCAAAGCTGCCGCGCGGAGAACCCAGAAAGTCTTTGTAGCGATTCTCTTCTTGTCAATTCCTGCATGGCTCATGCTTGGTTGCGTTTCACAGTCTGCAATGTTCGAGTGGAGACAAACCAAATGGGCTCCACCGTACTTCTGCTGGAGCCAATCAAAGCGTGCTCCGGAACGCAGAATGTGATCTGAGTATCCCTAAAGATGGCTCGGAACAACACCGAAATCTCCACGAAAGGCCGACGATGTTGGGCACAGGAGCGCTGTCTATCATGTGAGCGCCCAGGAAGGGCTTGTTGGGTCGGACTGAGCAGGAGCAGTCTGTGTAAACAGCTCGTGGAGACCAGACCTGGTCTGCTCGTGGCTGGCGCTCTCCTGCGCCGCGTCATCTTCCACTGCCTGGCGTCTCCGTCTCTGACAGCAGAGGCTGGCAGAAGCCTGGCCCAGGGCCTCCGTCAGAATCTCGTTTGCAAGCTCTGAGCTTCGCTTCAGCGATGCTGCCTCGGGAAGGCTCCGCCGCTCCGCACAGCACAGCATAGCACAGCGCAGCGGAGAGTTCTGAGGATAGCACAATCTCCTGCACTGCTCACATGTTGCAGTAGGGGAGATGTACAGTCTTCGTCCGCTAAGGCATGGATGCAATGGATGCAGCAGTCTTCCATCCCAAGATCATGGATTCTCACATGTTACATGTTTCACCGGCCTGCTGCATATCCAGAGCGGTCACCGAAGGAGCAAAGCCCAACACCTAAGTACAGGACGTCAAGCACAGGAGCCGCAGTGTACCTGCAATATCCTGCAATGTTCTTCAGTGACTTCGAGAGGGATCTACACCATAGTACACCCGTGTGCCCTGCTGTGAGCTCTCCATTCTCGATCACCTGAGTTGGACAAACTGTACAGTGGGCAGGGCATTCCGCGTTATCCAAGTCTCAATCTTAAGATGAGGTGCACTCACCACATCCCCGCCGCGGAGGCGGCTGCAGGCACCGGCCATCCCATCCAGGGAAGCCTGCAAAGCTTCGTGCAGAGCGGGCAGAGCTTCTCCCGCTCTCTGGCGCTCCTGGCAGCTCTCCCCACGATGCCGCAAATGTCTTGAACCTACCGATCCGATCCTCGTCTTCTGGCAAGAAAGTCGATGAATCTGCAAAAAGAGCGGCAAGAGGCAGAGTGCTCAGGACGGGCGATTGGACAAGTCGGACGTCAGCAGAACGATCGGCTCAACGGATTGAAAGGCTTCGCCTGTCTTCAGAGTCTCTCGGCCATCGCGTGAAGCACGACGTAGATCCACAGTCAGCGATGTCCTAGTCACGCCGAAGAACAGTCAGGAAAAACGATGGAAACTTCTGCTACCGTCTTCCGATCTTCAAAGCTCCTCCGTTGTTGTCCGAAAGGGCAAGATGCTGGCGAAGGTATCGGGCTTTCACCTGAGGGAGCACATCAACCTCCTGTTGCTCACGTTATTGGAGTACATGAGCTGCAAGGAACACCTGGAGAAAGAGGTGACTCCGCAGAATCCGGGGCTGCAGTTGAACCTGCCAAACAACGACTTGGCATCATTGTTAATATGCTAAGGCAACTCAAGGGCTCAAGGTCTGGCCTGGGGAGTAGCCCCGCAGGCTGCTGGGCCATGGCTCCTCAGCCACAGCAGATCGACACAACAAATCTGAGACTTAGATGACTTAGGCGACGGCTTCACGGTTCGGTGCCAGTTTGAGCTGTGCCCGTGCAGTGGGAGCCTCACGCGCGCCTGTCCTGCAAGCCCATGCAAGAAGCCCTCACTTCTTCCGTGAGCAACCCTGAACCAATCACCCAAAAGGGGGGAAGACGAAAAGGGCCCCACCATCCCCACCCAGGCCCACGTCAGGCCTCAACATCGCTTCGCTATTTGCTCGAAGGTCCGCCGCAATTCTGGTTTCGATACTTGGCTCTTGCGACTCGTGTCTCGATGTCTGGTGCATGACACAGCATTGTTGAAACTGTGGGAAGCTGGAGGTTGAAATCTGACTCCTTGACGTAAACCGGTTTCGCTTCGCGGCGTACTGCTACTGCCTGACACACAACAGCCTTGTCAGAGGAGCGGCGATGCGAAGAAACATCGACAACTTGCAGTGCTTGCACTGCGACATCTGTGGAGCTACACCACTGCAGAGCTCAGCCTGTTGGCAGCGAATACGCAGGACCTGGCCGACTGCCTGACGATGGAGGAAGTCAACCGACAACGGCGGTCAAAAAGGCAGGCCAGGCCTTCAGCCACCGTCCATAGGTTGACAATGTTCCTGCCTGGTGCATCTAGCACCTTAATGACAGGACTCCGTATTGAGAAGCGCTTGGAGATTCTCATGTCCCCCAGCTCATGCACGTCATCATCTGAGTGCTCGCAAAAGCGGTTGTCCGGCCGAGCAGCCCCAAGCAGACGGTTTCCGCACGGGCTCCAGTCCTTGGACAAATTCTCGAAACTAGGCCCATTGCATGTGCTGAGTTGCCCGTGTCCGCAATCTGAGTACGGAAGAATCGAGGCGCGGAAGCAGCTTGGTTCGCGAGTCGCTTTTAGGGTGTCTTGCTTGCTAGCAGCTCTGGCGAGCCCCCACGAGCTGGCAGCAGCCCCAGCCTAATGAACAAAGAAGTGGTCCAAAGTGGATTTCCCCCCTCACTTTCCCTAAATCGACGGCTGCTCGGTCGCTGGAGCTGACTTTGCGATGTGTGAGCCACTGCTACCGTACCAGACCGGGGAAGCACAGATCGAGCCCTAAGGGGCCCCAAACAGACGCAAACGAACTTGACTCTGGGAGAGTTTGTTTCAGGCCGTCGCAATCACAGGTGGCGCGTGGCTTCATTGACAGATCTGTTGCAGCACAGCTGGGCGTCGAGCAAGACTCCACCTCCCACTGGTGCCGCTGCCCACCTGCGTTCTTCTGCACTGACCAAGAAACTACCTTGGATCATGACAGAGCTTCTTCCGCCGCGTGGCCTCGCCGGTATCTTCTGCGGCCCCTGCCAGAAGTCAAGAATGCTGAGAGTACTGTAACACGAGTGTCTGTGGTGCACACACACTCTATCTCGTACACTCGGTGCATGCCATGTTTCTATGGGTCTGCTTGTCCGTAGGTATCTGCATGAGATATGTGTGAATGTGTGTGCTGCTTGTGTAATGTCTACGCTAGATCTGTGAACAGAGACAGCTACAAGAAGCTCCTTGTACAGGCTGCGCCCTGTGATGTTCGTGACGACGATGATGGGGGCAGTGGTGGCGCTGATCGCAGCGGCGGTGACAGTCGCGACGCTGATGGCGAAAGCTCTGCAGATACTGATGGCGACAGTGTGACGAGGATGACGCGTGGGAGGAGGAGGAGGAGGAGGAGGAGACGACGACGAAGATGGCAACGATGACGATGTAACTGCCATGACGATAACAAGCATGATACTATCAACGACGAAGATGGCCCGTCGTCATCCAGCATTGCCTTTACTATCATCACATGTACCTTCTGCCTGTCGTCATGATGTGACCCATCGTGGTTCTCGATTGTATATGATGTGCATGGGAAGCGAACGGCCAACACCATGACAGGAAGAAACAGCTTTCTCCTGAAACTCCGAAATGACCAGCCAACAATTCGCTCCCACCTTTCACCAGCTAGGTGCAATGGCCTGAACGGTTGGCCGATGTCTTAGCCTTAGGAAAACACGGCAGGTCTGTCTCTGAAAGGCAACACCATCCACTACGAATTCGACGTAAGCGGAAAACACGCACGAAACAAGGTGAAGGACAATGGACGACACCTTGATGTTTACATTCTGGCAGGTGCATCAGGCGTTTGCATCATGCCACTTCTTCTAAGAAGCTGCGTGCACATGACATGTCTGCGCGCTGGCCAAGCGTGCACAATAAGGCGACATGTCTGACACTTACGGCACAGAACCCCGCGCCCCTTTCTTAACATTAACATTGCCACGTGTTGCCTGCCCGGCTGTGCAGGATTTGTTTAAAATGTCCGTGCCCATGATTCCCAGCGTCAATATGTCAAACGGGCTTAGGCAACCCGGCATGCTTGCTGGCAATGCCCTCTAGAAACATTCGGAAACTCTTACCCTATAAGTAACCACTGCGCATAGCAACATATTCAGAACACAGTGCTTATCTCCATGCTTCACTTGGAGGCTGAAGTCAAGTGCTGACTTCCTGGCCGAGGGCAAAGCTGGAGCCGATGCCCGAGGCCTCAAGTTCAACAAGACGAAGTCCGAGAAAGAGGAGGAACATGTTTAGGACTCAGGCTGCTGGGGCTTGCGAACAGACAGCTGAATGGTTATGAAGCTCATGTGCGTCCACAGCGCCGACTCTGCAAAACCGCACTTTACCTAGGCTGGGAGTCCGGGCAACTGTTGAAACGGCTGCCGCTGCCCAAATCGCCAAAGGTGCACACATCCGTCCTGACATACAGGACAACTTCCAAACACGACCCCGTGCACATGACAGAGCTCGTGACACCATTCTTGATGCTCTTTGGGATGGATAGCTTTCTTGTCCCGGGCACACGCCAGTTTCGCTTTTAGCATCTGGTGCATCTACACAAGACCACAACAGGACACAACATGAAAGAGAGCTTGAGGGTGTGCCTCATGCGCTGCTGCGAAAATTGACCTGGAAGGATGCGATGCGGCCTCAAGCTCTTGAGCTCGCACCAGCAATACCAAGTGCAATTGGACGCACAGTGTCACAGCTGGATCATCGTTTGGCTTTGGGTTTCCGTAGCTAGCGGACCAGCTGCTAGGCTAGACTAAGCGATGTCGACTGTAACGACCTTTGGCGAAGGGTCGACGGGGGCGCACAGGAGCGTGACAACCCTTGTCGAGGCTCTAAAGTCCGTCCAGGACGCCTGCTTCAACATGCGTGACGCTTGTCACACCCTAAAGGGCAGCAGTTGTGATGCTACCGTCCCATGTTCAAGCGATCGAGTAAGCCTCCTGCACTGACAACCGGCGAGTTTTGTAATGCAGCCTGACGAAGCATCACGTTCATTCACTCCCGACGCTCTTCAACATTCGAGTTGCCTGTGGCGCACCATCTTGAGGAAGCCTGGCCAACACAAAAGCACGAAGCTCAAGAAAACTCAGCCGTCTTGACATGTGTCATTACGTCATGCAGTCATGCCTCACACGAACTACAATGATGTTGCCCAAACCCTGCACAGCGATCTCGCGGGAGTCCGAGACTAGATTTTTTGCTGCTTTACCGGCCAGTCGGCCGCCTGAAGCTGGCAAAGCTCGGCAGTTCCAGTTCTGTATTGATGAGAGCCGATGCTTCAGACTTGATGGTCAGTCAGAGATTATGGGAATGCCGCAACAAGCCACAAAATCATAGAGACAGAAAGCGCTCCCAAGACACCATTCTTGGAACGTTTGACCTGCTGATCCTTGAGGGTTTAGGGTCCAAGGTCTTCTCTAAAATCACTGGCCTCAGTGTGGCAAGGAAATACGCAACTTCCGCCCCGCGGTCAGCGGTGACCTCAGACTAAGTCTGACCAGACGAGGGGGCCATACCTCACCACGGATGTACAGCAAGGTTTGGCGTTTGGTATTCTGCTTGTTCATCTGACAGTATGCAGCAACCAATCAAATGCGAACCATTTCCTGGCTATGTCTAGTTACTTGGAAAAAATGCAAGCCCACAGAGGTACTCAAATTGGTGCTGGTGCTGCGTTAATCCCTTCCCCCTAATATTAAACCGCTCCCCCCCCCCCCAATATAAAAACTGGAATTCGGAGGTTTGGTTTTTATATTAGGGGGGGTTTCGGGTCCTGCGGGTATGAGTCGGACTGACAGGAATAATGAGGCAGCCAGACAGTCAGACAGTCTGAAGCCCTCAACCCTAAAGCTTAATTTTTTGTTTGGGCAGCCAGACAGACCAGACAACAAGTCAGCGACTGATTGATGCAGCAAAGACAGGGCAGGGAGGGAGGGAGGGAGGGACATAGCACCCAACAACCCCCCCTTATATTAAAACTAATTAATTAGCTAATAACTGGCTCCAGCCTAAAACTTAAAACCCTAAGCCTTAAACCTCGAGCCCCAAACCCTAAAGGCCTGAGCCCTAAACTTTAAGCCCTAAAGCCCTGAGCCCTAAAGCTTTAGCCCTGAGCCCTAAACCCTTAAACCCTAAAGCTCTCGTGTCTCTTTAATTAGTACTGCTGTAATTAATCTTTGCATCTATAATTAAAGCCCTGAGCCCTAAACCCTTAAACCCTAAAGCTCTGGTGTCTTTAGTACTACGGTAGTCTTCCTTCAAATAAAACACATACAGATCTGCCACCCCCCCTAATGTTGCCCCCTTTAAATTGAATGTGGGGCCCGAACCCGCGAAATTCCGGGGGTCGGCAGTTTTTATATTAGGGGGGGTTTAATGTTAGGGGGAAGCGATTATCAATGTACTGGTTGTGGCACTGACATGCTTGGAGGTCGGGATTCTGCGGGTTAGAGCAGTCGAAACTCAATGTGGAAATTTCAGCAGTAAGGTAGGTAACCAAAGGCGGGAAGGAACCCTGCGTGCCGTCGAGTGCTGCTCCCTGCTCGAGCTCGCGACGCTTTGTTCACCATCACCAGGACTTACATCGTCCAGCGGAATGTCAGCGCCACCTGTCGACCAACAGATCTTAAAAGATGAAAAACGAAACGTTGCTGTGCAGCTTGAGGCCATGATTGACTGAATTCGCTTGTGACAAGTGAGCACCCTTTACCCGTTCCCTTCCTTCAAGGCTCCGACCGAGCAACAGCTCGGCATCCGTGTCGAAAGTCAGAGATCCCACCGCTGGCGAGCTGGCACGAGATGCATCCCATCTGTCGCAGCTAAAACAGGCATGCTGGAAAGCAATAGGCAACAACAAACATTATGGTAATGAATACAGTTGGATAACTTAGACAAACCGGATGGTGGCAAAGATGGTCTTTTGTTGGTAAGCAAAGGTGATGAAGTTGAAAGTGGGTGCTACAAGATGATAACAAGAACAGCAATGATTCCTAGCTTGGCAATTGCGTCACTGATACTCGCAGTGCAAAAGCAAAAGTCGCGACATTAAGACTGGTTGCGTAGTATCAGTGAGCACTACACTTCGACACCACAAAAACGAATCGCTGAAAGCGAACAGCCATGCTTAACAACTCCAAAGATTGTAGACTAGTAGATGCGTTACCCGGTGCAAGCTCCGACTGTACTCAGCATTGACACGTTGCCTCGGTAATCAGCAGACATGGCCTGCTCAAAGCCAAGAGGGCATAGTTCTCAACGTTCTGACCGTAGGAAGCCTGTCAGTATGCTGGGGGCACCTTGATACTGTGACAGGCAGGCATCTGCTTGAGCTTCTTCTCGGGCTATTGGAGTGGGCCGGGGAGGACCCACTCTTGTCGTAACAGCTTGTGTAGATAACGGCAGCTGGTGTCCGAACAGCAGACTTGAATTGAAACGAACAGGAATGTCCAAAAAACCAATCCGCCTGAACGTCGTTGGCTTGCCCCTGGCACAGATACTGGGTGTACCGAGGAAATGTGCGAATGCCAGACACGCTCGCGGCTCTGGACACTTTCCCGACCTCTGTCAGAGACTCGGAAATGCTGAGATCGGACCATTTGCGGTCCATCTCCGCAGAAGCCCAGCTCTGAGTTCCGTGCCCATCGAGCGGCATGCCCCGCATGAATCTCCAACAAGCACGACTTCACCTCGTCAGCCATGGGTCAAAGTTGCAACATTGACAGCAATGCTTTGCTGAATCGGTTTTGGCCTTGCTATTCTGCCAGTTGCATATAAACGTCTATTATATATGCGAGATGTGCCTGCATACACCTAAGTACACGTGTCGAGTTCTCTCTCAGCATACCGGACCTGTGTCAAGACGTAGCTTTTACTAGAAACAGAGGTAGTAGAGTCGAGGACAAAGCAGCGGAAAAAGGCACAAACGTGATAGTAACAGAAACAGCGAGCAGTAGCGTCGTAATAGCGTAGTAGTCGTAGTAGCAGCAGCAATACCAGTATTAGTATTAGTATTAGTATTCGTATTCGTATTCGTATTAGTTTAGTAGTAGTAGTAGTATTAGTATTAGTATTAGTATTAGTATTAGTATTAGTATTAGTATTAGTATTAGTATTCGTATTCGTATTCGTATTCGTATTCGTAGTAGTAGTAGTAGTAGTAGTAGTAGTAGTAGTAGTAGTATAGTAGTATAGTAGTATAGTAGTAGTAGTAGTAATACGAGTAGTAGTAGTAGTAGTAGTAGCAGTGGAAGTAGTAGTAGTAGTAGTAGTAGTAGTAGTAGTAGTAGTAGTGGTAGTAGTAGTACCGCATCCCCCCCGGTGCGACGCCCAGACCTTTTTTATTTTTGGGACTTGTTGTGGTCGGAAACGCTGCGTTTTACAGCACTTTTTTCCGCAGTTTCCGAAAGTGGCAACTGTTCTTGGTTCCGGATGCGTTTTTATCATGTTTTCTAACATTGTTCATCAATCTCGTACCTCAAAATGCTGGAATTTACAGCGCTTGTCTTTGCGAGTTTCATGATTTTTTGTTGTTTTTTGAAGTCTCGATTTTCGTGCCCAAAACCTAGCGATCAGAATGAAGGTTTTTATGGCCTAATTTTGATCATGATGCTCATCCAAATCGTTGGAAAGGAGAGCATCCATGTCAAAAATCTTTCGAAATCCATGGTCTAGCGCATTTTGGTTTGGAGAGCATCCATGTCCAAAACCTAATGGCGTCCATGGTCTAGCGCATTTTGGTTTGGAGACATCCATGTGCAAAACCTAATGACGTCCATGACCTAGCGCATTGAGGTTTGGAGAGCATCCATGTCCAAAACCTAATGACGTCCATGGTCTAGCGCATTGAGGTTTGGAGAGCATCCATGTCCAAAACCTTTCGACATGTTGCTTCTTTGCATCGCACCGAGTGGGGCTGGTACTTTCGACTGCTAAAACGATCCTTGTCCTTGCTACGCCGCATCTTGGACCGCGACAGCTCTGATGGAACATGTTGTACATCCACGAACTCTGCGACCGGCGTCGCACCGGGGGGGATAGGGTAGTAGTAGCAGTAGTAGCAGTATATTGCATTGCGGACGTCACACAGGTCTGTGCTTGACGAGAGTGGGACAGATGCAAGGCATCCGGCCGTTCTTATGACGGCAACGCGATTTCGCGTCTCCCAGAGTGGCTTCGGCCCTCCTGGAGTCTTAGTCCAGGGCATCCAGATCTACCTCAAACAAAACTAGCGGCTCCGCGGCTGCTGCCTCTGCAGAAGATCCTTGTTGCGGGTAGAAGGTCTGACCTCCCGCTTGAGTCAACTCACCCGTGTAGTGAGAGTCGACCACTTCCATGGCAGTCAAGCCGTCACCATCAGCATGATCTTCTCCATTTGACTCTTCGTCGTCGGTTGAGCTGCTCGACACCCAAATTGCCGTTGTAACACTGGTATTCCCAGTATCGGCGTGCTCTTGCGGTGCCGCGGAGGAGCAGGCCGTAGCCGATGAAGCATTAAGAAATCCAGCGCCGTCATTCTCAACGCCCCCTTCACCTCCAGTTGCAGCTTGCGACATCCCGGGCATTCGCAGCCCCGCATAAATAGCATGTGCATGTTGCTGCCTCTCGTCGCAACCAGTGGCATGTCGCGTGCCTCCAGACCATTGACACAGAGTACAGCAGTGCAGATGTTGCAGGCCTGACAGCCGTCCACATGTGCGCACTATGCACACAGAAATGCTGCCCCTTTCATTCTGTTCACGACGTCTGGTCCATTGGAATTCACATCTTTCCGTGTGCTGCCCAACAGTACAGAGGCTACAGCAGTGTCTATGAAAGCGCCGTCCCTGCCGATAAACGCGCTCACAGCCATTGGTACTGCATTGGGCCACCCGTGGTCCAGGACCAGCGCCTCCAGCATCCGCACCAGCACCCCGGTGCCGTCGCCGACGACGCGCTGTATCAGCGCTCCATGCCATGACCTGGGCAAGACGAGGCATTATACAGCAAGCTTCGGGTCGCTGACTGCAAGTGCAGCGGTACAGCGGTACCAGTCGTCGCAGTGCCTCATTTTTTCCTGGATGTGCCGTGTGTGCCCCAGCGCGTGCACTAACTGACTAATCGGGAGGCAGGCAGTCACTGGCAGGCTGTGGGCGCCATGCTCACACTAGGGCTCTCTTGAGAGGGCTGGCATGATAGAGCTAGAGTTACACCCACCTCAGCTCCACACACAGCGTCCATTAAAGCCCTCGAGGCTCGCAGCTATACAGATCAACCAGCGATGCTAGCACAGAGCCTACTCGTAATCTGCTCCACCGATTCAGCTCGATCCGGCAGTGCACATGGAGGAACAAATCCTGAGTCCAGTAGGAGCTGCGTGTGCGCCTCGGTTGCGGCTTTGTGCTGCGCTACTGTGTATGCAATGAGCACACATCGCCGTCCCATCTTCCACAGCATTGTGCAGTGCATGCACAGCTTTCCGTTAAACAACACCGCCGCAGCTGAGGTGGAATGCACAGTGCCCCGCAGCATTCCAGTGTCAGCATCAAGATAGACGCTTCCGCTGTCACTTTGAACCCACAGCTCCCCGCCGCTGTGATGTGTGAGGCCCAGCAGCAGACTGGAGTGGTGCTCGGATTGTCCACGTGCAGCTCCGTACCATTGTCCAGTCCCACCATGATGGTAGTCCATTCATGTTTGGGATGTACCGCCAGGATGGCCGCATTAAGGAGTCTACAGGTAGCCATATGCTGCCTCGTGGATTTGGCAATACCAACCAGGCCGCCCTTGTTGTAAAGCCCAAACTGCATGTTACGGCCGTCTGCAATGGGGCGACAATCCTCTTGGAACTCGAGGACTCGGACCGTCTCTCTCACAGCTGACCAAAGCGCCCCAGCTCCTTCGCAAAGATGCGCATCTGCTATGGCTTCCGCCGCGGATGCCCTTTTCTCGTCCACATAGCAGGGTGCAGGGTAGTGCACCACGGTCGGTCCGACCAACTCAAGCGCTAGTTCATCCAGCAGCCTTTGCATGCGTTGGAAGTCCTGCGGCGCGCAGTCTGAACCAGATACACCAGCTCATTACGCGTGGTCAGCGTAACCTCGGCGGGCATCTCGACCCCTTCTGGAAGGAGGGTCCACAGCATGTCGAGGATAGCTGCCTCCTCACGCGCCACCAAGAGCATATGTCGCGGCAGCTGCAGGCTAGTCATGAAATTGGCTACGCGGTGCGACCTACACACCAGCCTGTGTCGTGCCGACCTAGGCACTCCTTGAGCACTGTGCTGGGTTGGGTGGCAGGGCGCGTCTAAACTGCGCGCAATCGGTGCTGCCTCAGATCACTGGAGCGGCTGACACTTTGAGGCTCGAGCCACACCGCGCTACCTAGACGCGGCGAGCCTGTGCCGACCTAGGCACAGACCAAGGCTCGAGCCAAGTCCTCAAAAAGGAGAAGTCAGAACTGAGGATGTTTAAACCTGCACATTGTCATGAACAGCTCACGACTGAAGAAGAGCAGTGGATCTTGAAGTTGGCTCGCAGATGGCTGATTTGTGACCGGTCGGTCTGCGCGGCGCACTTCGGTAGCCACTGCACGGGAACTACAGGAACATTTTGCCTTGCGGGCCTTCCTGTATGGGCCCTGAGCGAGGACTAAGCGTTGCGCACCAGCCCTACCAGGTATGCATTTTGATCCACAAGTTTGAGATCTGCAGCCCTGGCCTTTCGAGGCAGACGGTTATCATCGCAAAGAAAGTAATCCCACCCTGTAGGTTTCGGCTTACCAAGCAGTGTCATGTAATGGCCAGTATCAACCCTATCGCCAAGATGAAACACTATTGCAGCAACTTGGAAGGATTCATGGCGCAGCGCGATGCCAGTCGGCTCAGAAAAGAAGCTCGTATCACTGCCGTACACTTGTGAGAAGCACCAGTGTAACGCTCAAGCTGCAACCAGACAAAGCCTCTATGCGCAAGCAATGCATGCACGGCGTGCTGCATATGCCACTGATCCATGAGACGCTGCAGTGTGTATGGCTGCGCACCTGCGATGGGCAGGGTGAGGGGCTGCTCAAGCGTACCTGAGAGAACCACGGGGCGCTCCCCGTCAGTGCGCGCTTCCCATCGACACAGATAGGCAGCAGACTGAGTTGCGACCAGAAAGGCATTCAGGAACTCTCCTGCATCATGCTGGTCGTGCACACGCTCCCAGGATTGAAACAAAGGCCTGAGGGCCAGTACATCTATCAACCTAACAGCCCCCGATGTGCTAAAAACGTGAAAGCTGGCCTGCAGCCGACCAAAACAGTCTGCAGGGGCAGAGGCGAGTGCGCCCAACCAATGAGCAGCCTGCAACACACTGTTGACGTAGCACAGGTTTGTGCGATTAGTAAGACGAACAGTTGCAAGCGCCGGGCCAGCCTCGTGCGACGACCGTGCGTCCCTTCGCACGGCCTCCCCGCGCTTCCATTGGCTCCCTCTCCAGGATTTGTTCTTCCAGTCGCACAGCGGCATGGCCATGAAGGCATCCTCGACCGCCCGGGCTAGCGGCGGCTTGTTCACTCGCTCCGGTCTCATGCGGAGTCCGACCAGTTTCATCACCGCGCAGCCGCTCAGAGCTCGCAGGGCTGCGTGGCATTGGTCGCTCGCTGTACCCCGGAGGCTGAGCGTCAGATTGAAGGGCACTACTTCCTCTTCGTAGCTGTCCTGCAGGCCTCGTGGTGTGGAGAACTTGGTCAGCACGCCATCCTTGGGCAGGTTCTCGATGAGGTGGTGGCCACGGACCCACCGCTGAAGCATGCCGAGTGTCTGCGGCTGATCGACACCCTGGCACTTCTTGGCCGGGTCCCAGGTGTGGTAGACCCAGCTCGGGTTCAGTGCCGCCTCCGTCGAGACCATCCACGCCACTTCCTTGCACTTCATCAGCTTTTCCTCGCTCCCCAACACTGCTTCGGTTTTCTCCTTCAGGAGCTGCATCACAGCCATGAGCAGCATCGTCTTGAGGGCAATGTTGACGCTGCCGTCGTCGTATTTCTCCTGCCAGGTCTTGGTGACCCCTCTCATCATGGCGAGGCAGCCAAGGTCCGAAGTATCGGCGAAGATCACAAACCCCATATCTGGGCGGATCCGCATGAGCTCTTGCTCGTGCTTGATCAGGAGCTTGGCCATCCCCTTGACCAGCTCCTGAGTCTGGGCATCCAGACCGGTCGTCTGCTCCGCGGTCTCGGCGTTCTGCTGCTTCGGCCACGGGGCTTTTCCCTCGTTGTTCGACTTTCGCCAGCCGGACCATGAATCTGGCGATGGTCCCTTGCCCTTGCTGTCCTCGCGGTGGCGATATTTCGGCCGGCGCTGATCCCCCTCCTCCTGTGCCTCCTCCTCGCGCGCTCTGGGGTCCTCCGGCATGGAGACCCAGGACGGGTCAATCGGCCATATGCCCGGGCACACGGGCGCACACACACGGGCGCACGCTGGCACACGGCCGCATGACACGGCACGGTCCTACACGGCCCCGTGACGACCCACCGCCTATCGCCGCACGATTCGTAACTTGTGAATCGCACACTAATCCGCACAAGTTTGGCACGATCCACGTTGCGCGCACATGCTAAACCATATAAATATACCCGTGCGGTCACGCAAAGCTGCGAAAGTGCCTCGAGCCACGCCGTGCACGCATGCCCTAAACCCTAAACCCTATATAAAACACGCGCAGTAAACGCAAACACGCAGTACACGCGCAAGCCGCGAAAGAGTCTCGAGCCACGCTGTGCGCGTGCGCCCTAAACCTTATAACTATATGAAAATAAGCACTTATAGAATATAGATTTATAGAGATCAAAATAATATGAATATAAATATAGATATATGAAAAATGTAGATGTGGAAATACGACATCTCGATCATCTCTGCAGCCGAAAAAATCGACATTCTGATCAACCTTGAAGCTGAAATTGAGGATCAGAAACTTAATGGCTTGTTTGGGGTTTCAGGGATTAGCACAATTGGTTCCGGAATGGATGAGGAATACTTGCAATGCAGATCACTTCAGTCAATCGATTTTCACCCGGACTTGGAATCTTCGAGCAAGCCTGCCCAGAGCAAGCACACGTGGAGGGAGTAATGCTCCAGCACTCGCATCCCTACAGTTCCTGGGTGCACAGCAACTGCGAGGCGTTTGGTTCTTCTAACCATATCCTCGCCTAAAAAGCAAGAGAAATATCGCATATTCCTGCCAAAAGCAACATGGTCCATGACCATGTGCTCTACGTGATGCATTTTCGGACGTAGGTGCCACCTCAATTGGTGAAGCTGCAGCGCTCGGAGGGCCAGTTCATTCCAGCAAGTTCTGAAGAGCAGATAATACTCCACGGACAGCTCACGCTGATCTTCAGGCAGAACACGCCTGTTCTTTAGATATACGTCCGATGGTGGACCAAAGCAGCAAACAAAACTATCAAATTACCTGGGAGCCTTATTAATAGATGCAGAAAAGGCACCCATTGTCCATAGCTATCTGCTGAAGTTTCAGCAGTCCCAAGCACGCACCAGCTCGCCAGTGATTCTCCCTCGTCGGAGCTGCGGCAGCGAAATCCTCAGCCACTTTTGCCATCCATACCAAAAGCCCGCGAGCAGCGGCCGCTGAAAGGTAGTGCTGGGAAACACTCACAAAAGTATTGGAGTTGGGTTTCAAGACCTCTGCATTGAAGAGCTTGGCATCTGCTCGATCGATGTCACGTCCAATAAAATTGTTGTAGCTCTCATACAAAGCACGCAGCCGAGTAGGCCTGTGGGGACCTGCTACATAATCCTGGTTGTCAGTCCAATCCAGCAGCAGTGAAATCGCCAAGTCTGGGATCACGGCGAGGTCGATGTTGTGCATGGGGTCTGGAAATATTCCTGTCGACCCAGCATGGAGAAATCACATGAACTCACGAGGTGTGGGTGTGTGTGTCTGTGTGTTCTAGGCGTACGAAACATGTCCCTGATATTATCAAAACCATATAGTCACAGCCATGCATCTTTCAGGCATGAAGAAAGGGATGGTGGTCAACGCCGTGCGCCCATGCACTTGGATAAACTCGCCAGCATGAGTCAACCTCACGTGAAACTTTATATTTCGTAGAGTTCAGGGTTTAGGGCCCATAAAGTACATTATGTCGGAAACAAGATCACGATGTCTTGCAACCGCTGGCGGTTTTCAGAACTGAGATTGTGTTTCAAAAATGGGGCTTCCAACTATAGTATTATTTACACAATTGGGTGTTTTAGAAACATCCACAGGTCTCGCCAAGGCTCGTTCTTCTGTGCCTGGCATTCGGGCCAAAGGATGTGAACAGCATATCTTCATCCGCATCTTCACTGCCAGCTGCTGCTCCAGGAGACAGAAACATTAAGGCCTCTCAGGCGGCATCATCTATAGATCAGGATGGCCAAAGTCGGTTGCAGTATACAATTAAAAGCAATAGGAAAGATTCATATTTGCTGTCAAAAGACCCGACAGTAGTAGCAAACCTGCTGGCAGCTTGCAGTTCTCTTCAGAGAGAAGCATAGTCGCATCCAGTCTTGGTCGCCTTCGAACCCATCCAATATCCCTCGGAATCCTGCAGCCAAGGGCTTCCCAGCGAGAGCTCGCCTCGCTCGATCAGCGAAGGGCTCATCGTTGTGATCTTTCTCTGGATGTGTACCCGCACCTCGGTACTTCCAGTACTTACAGTAATCATTCTTCAGGTTTCGGAGAAGCCCTGATCTGAGATGCATGGCAAAGCACACAAGCAGTGAAAAGACCAACTCAAGACTTTCAGGATCTCAGTTCTTGCATCGTCAGAGCAGTAGGTAGAGCTCATGCAAGACATCAGAAGACGGCTGCTGAGGGTCGACGTTTCAGCAAGCACAGGCTCCAGTGCAATGATTTCGAAGTTTTGGTGTCCTAGGTTGAGCACATACTCCCAGATTTAACGCCTTCGCACCAACTTCCTTATATGGACAAAACAAAGTAGTAAAGTTTGTTTCAAAGCCAAGATCTAAGTGAAGTCGCACCGTCCCCGTAAATCCTGAAGGGAATCGCTTGCTGCAGATCGATGCCCTCAGACTCCACCCAGGCCACGAAGTCTGGATCGATCTGCCTCTCATTTTCCCAGTGGTCTTGGAGAGCCTTGGTTTGGCAAGATGATATCAACGATTCGGATTGCATTCCCACGACTTATGACGGAGCCAAACAGTGTGAGACCCGGCCCCTCGATCAACAAAGGACGATATAATTAAACCTCTAGGATAAACGAGCCCAGCAATATTGATTCGATCATGCCCAACATAAACTCCAACGGGATTGTCGCCTTACTTAGAAGTGCAGTGGCTTCATTATTCGTACGGCGTGCTCAGCATGGCGACATGCGCATCAGCGGATCATACCACCTAGCATTCGAGAATCAAGATGGGTGTGGTCGGATGGATGTTGAATCATCAGCTACTTAGTATCTATATGCTTCAAGTGCATTTATAACGGCAGCTTCAACATGTCGCAAGCATGATACTGCAACCGCTGGGATTCCGTCGGCAACGGCCTTCATTGAATTTCAGATTTCGACGCACGTGACTAGTGCACGCCCTGGATTTCCTCGCGTTGTTGCTTAACGCTGCCGGTTGGTGCCACAGCAGGCCAAGCAAGTCGATCATTCCTCGTCAAATCCCCCACGTTGATCAGGAATAGCTTTGGTTCAGGGATCAATCCTATTCAGTCTTTGATACTTAGAAATATTCCTGTAGCCGGACCCATACAACAATACCTTGGAGTCTTATGGCTTTCCAGCTCATCAGTCTCCCTATAGGTGGGTTCAGACTGTTCAGACCTTGTACCTTTTTGAGGATATGTATTGTACAGCTCAATAGTGTCGACATCATCTCCCCGGCCCGAAAACCCCAACACTGGAAACCCTAAGGTCCTGGACCTACCAGCCCAAAACACCCGACCCTAAACCTCGATGCCAAAGACTTTCAATGGGCAAGCCCCTGCATGGTGAATCCAGGCAACACCTTCTGGAGCCAGCCGGTGCAAGTTGCCGCTGCTGTGCAATGAGGCCAGTATCTCATGCGGGAGGAAGAGCGAATGATTGATGCGTGTTAGCGGCTTCCCCGTTCGATCCGTATGCACCTGATAAACCAATCAGAGCTGCGCATACAGGGCTTCGACTTTTGTAGGTGATACTGCAGAAATTAGACCCTGCCTGTAACAGTAATTCGACCCCTCTCTTTAGAAGGGTTGTGCTGGCTCATTTCGGCTATGATTGGGTATGGTTTTGAACACATATTTCTGGGGTTTAGAACACTTATTTCTGGGGTTTAGAACACTTATTCCTGGGGTTTAGAACACTTATTTGCAGCAGAAACGTACCGAAGCCCCAACAACTTGGTACCTGACACAAGGCAACGAAATCACATATGGTCGAGGCAACAGTTGTCTCCAGGGTTGCTTCATTGTCCATCGATTGAGCACTCTGTCGCAGCCCCACGATTTCGAAGAGCCATCGAAGCTAACCGCCAAATCCAGGATCTCGTTCCTGGTTCAGTTCTTTAGCACAGATCTCACATCAGAACAGGTTGCTCAAGGAATATAGGGCAGTGACGGCACCAGCTGTGCAGGTAGATGCCTCAAGCGACCTTGATTTGGATGTATCTTGTCTCAATCATGATTCGAAGGATCGTTCGGCTGGGGTTCGAACAGACGAGATTTCGCAGTCGTTTGATCTCCACCTGATTGAATGCATCAGAGCCACATGATTTGCATGGTCCCGTTCTGGCCTTGCCACTCCCGAGCATCGACCAAATCTCGGACATGATGCCCTGCACCACTTCTGTAGGATCCTGGCATATGATGATACTGCAACATGTTTTTTTTGCCAAGCATGTGAACTTGAGCATGCGAGCATCGACTGTGAGGTTTTTTCAACGGCGGATTCGCGCTGAATCCCTATCGCCGCTGGCCCTACAGATTAAACTGCTTGCTGCAGGCTCCTAGGGCGGCCACTTCAGCATCATTTGGAGTGCACATGCAAGAGCCTAAGTAGGTAGCTTACAAGCATTGTGGAGTGCACTCGTAGCCGCCCTCGGTACGAAACTCAAAATTAAAAGTGGCAGCTCACGACCTTTTCTGCCGCTTGCTCTTGCTGCTTCCTTTACCTTTGCCCTGGCCCTTAAGCATGTATGCGAACTTTTCTTCGTCGGTCATCGTTTCCCACCTGATCGGCATGAGCAGGAACCTACTAAGGGCTCGGAATAATGCTTCGAGTGTGCCACGGTGCCACGGTTCCATCAAAGTTTTGTAGGGTTTATACACGGAACTATGGGAAAGCTAGTGTGCTTCCATACATTGGACGATTGAGTACTGGGGTAAGTTTTGTAGGGTTTATACATGGGATTATGGGAAAGCTAGTGTGCTTCCATACAGTGGAGGATTGAGTACTGGGGTTGTATCTTCGGATTGTGTTCGTGAAGAATGGGAATGTCACAGGTAAGATGGTGGTTGTATCGGCGAGCTGGATGATTGGTGATGCAGGCATACTTTCAAAGGTTTCAGGCTTCAGGAGGGGTTGTCAGGAGGCCACAGCTACTTTGAACTAAATAACTCCAAGGTTTACGTAAGTCATCTAAACTTTGAAGATAAGACCCTATATTAATAAGTGTTGATCTATAAACCTAGATATGGTTTGAATACCTTGCTATACATGCAACTCGGCCCTCCAAGCAATGCATATCGGCCTCTCATTCATCTCCTGCTCCAAGGCCTCAGCATCAGCCTTCTTCCTTTTCTTTTCCTCCTCCTTCTTTTGTTGATTGTGGCCTGGTCAGGATCGAAGCTTTGGTGCAAACGAGATAGATTGATAAATACGTGACGACATCATTTGTACACTCAGGCTGCGGCGCTTCTTCTCTGCATCGATCTGCCCTTGCCCATGAAGAATGTCCCGGTGCGCCGCCTGACGAATAAGATGCATCAGGGTCTGTCCTTTGAGACTGACGTTTGCAGGCCTTGCACGCATCAGCGTTCTCCCGAATGAAGCCCGCAATTTCACTGATCGGCCTTAGCTCGCAAACGTCGGGGTTGCAGCTTCAGGCTCAGGGCTTATGAGGTTGTACAGATTGAGAGAAGGGGTTTGCGTATTAGAAGGCCCCCCCACCCTGTAATAGTGACTATATAGGACTATATTATAATGGGTCCTATTCAATATTAATTCCTATTATAATACCGCTATTACAGGGTGGGGGCGCCTTCTATTTTGCATAGCATATGCAATATGGTTTGTCCGCACACACAATCAAAGTCTGCACATGCAGGTCACATTCACACATACATGTGCACACACATTGGAAAAGCCACAGATATAAGAACCCAGCGATCCGTGAAAAACTTTATCATCAATCCCTTCGCGGATCGTCTTCAAGACTTGAACGTGCTTCTGCAAGTTTCCTTGCAGAGCCTCCACGTGTGGCACATCCCACTCTGTCAGGGCCATTCCCATCAACCTGGCATCGGATGCCAGCTTGTTGATGGCGGCGATATCCTTCTCCATTTCCTTTCTCGCCTGCACCTCCGGATCGACCTGCAGTAAGAACACAACCGTCTGCATACACGATTTTCGATGGCAGGAAATCATTTAGTATAATGCATGAGCCTTCTTCTCTTCTTTCTCCTTTTTTTCCTTTGTGTCCCTGGGCTGCTCCTGGGCACCTGCGAAGTCCGCCTGTGCACCCTCCATGATCTCCTTCACCAGCGGAGCCGCCGCTTCACTCACCGATCCTTTTGCCCCTGTCTTCGTGCCCACTTCGTTCTGGATCTTGTCCACGTCCTTGTTCCTCCGGAAGATCTTGTACAAGCGGGCCCGTGGG